TCATATGGCTTAATGGTGGTTTCTACTTAAAGGTCAGATATTTACTTTTTATCGTTTAAAAACATATATCAAGGTTAAAACGCCTTTAAGTTATGAAAATTACATACTTGTATGGAAGTCGTTTCGGTAATATTTATTCCGCCAAATCTTGAAACATACTCATTTGCCTGGAATAAAAATTAATGTCTGTCACATTTGTAAACGGAGAAGATCCTGAAAAGCGACATGCATAAAAACGGTAAATTACTATTTAGAAAACATACCAGCTGCTGAGCTAGCGATGGCGATGGCGATGGCGATGGCGATGGCGATGGCGATGGCGATGGCGATGGCGATGGCGATGGCGATGGCGATGGCGATGGCGATGGCGATGGCGATGGCGATGGCGATGGCGATGGCGATGGCGATGGCGATGGCGATGGCGATGGCGATGGCGATGGCGATGGCGATGGCGATGGCGATGGCGATGGCGATGGCGATGGCGATGGCGATGGCGATGGCGATGGCGATGGCGATGGCGATGGCGATGCGATGGCGATGGCGATGGCGATGGCGATGGCGATGGCGATGGCGATGGCGATGGCGATGGCGATGGCGATGGCGGTGGCGATGGAAATGGCAATGGCGATGGCATATGGTTTAACAAATAAATGGCGGTACTTATTGCGAGTGGCAAACCTGGCGGTGGCGGTGGCAAAATGGCGATGGCATGGCGATGGCGATGGCGATTTATTGTTATGGCATGGCGATGGCGATCTTATTGGCGATGGCTGTTTGGCGATGAATTTGGATCTTTTTGGCGATTTTTGGCGATGGCGATGCGATGGCGAAGGGCGATGGCGATGGTTTGGCGATGGCGATGGCGATGGCGATGGCGATGGCGATGGCGATGGCGATGGCGATGGCGATGGCGATGGCGATGGCGATGGCGATGGCGATGGCGATGGCTATGGCGATGGCGATGGCGATGGCGATGGCGATGGCGATGGCGATGGCGATGGCGATGGCGATGTCGATGGCGATGGCGATGGCGATGGCGAAGATGCTTCGATGGCGATATCCATGATGTAATTCTGGCGAATGGTTATTTTTGGCTATGGCATGACGGCGGCGTTGGAATCCGGTGTTGGTATTGGCGGTCAACGGTGCCGGTGGTTTGGCTTTTCGGTGATGGCGGGGTTGCAAATGATGAATCTTTAAAGAAAAATGTTAATCAAGACCACATCATACAAAACAATTGCCTTAGTATTACACTGTAAGGGCAAAAATGCGGACGGAAAGCGGAGTAACAAAATGGCCGCCATGAACGATCAAAACTCTTAAATGCACTCAAGCTTTTTATTGCTTATGCAGAACACTCTTATTGTTTCCTATGCATTATTTTCGTCTGTCGCACACGTCTTGTATGATCGATGATCAGATAGGGCTGTAGGATGTTTTTCGAAAATACTAGCAAATGAAATAATAGTTCAATAATACATCCCTGAATTACTGGTTTAACAACTAATAGGGGTACTTATTTTGCCCAGTTTTTGGCATTTCAACCTGCCCCCACGGGGCTTGAAAAATGCCACGCAAATAACAAAATATTCGCGCGTATTTATTGTTAAACCACTGAGTATGACGTTTTCATTTCTTATTTTATCTTGAGCTGTTTCCGATGAATGATAAATAACTTCTGTCATATTATGAAGATAACGCTCAAGCATACCCAATCACTGAACTACAATTAAATCAATTAAATTCCAACTCAAGAAAATGTATCTACACCTTCTGGTGACGTATGAAAACTGAGGTAACCCTCGCTAAAGAGTGCTCGTTGCTAAGTCGATCGAAATGTCCGATATATTTCAATTAGATGCAGAATGGTCAGTTTATTACGTTCACTGCACATTTTGCGTTGCATTGAAATTAGCCCCTACAACTTTACAGTTCAAACGATCGGGTATTAAAATAGAATACAATAACCATAAAATTGATTCCCCAATGCGAAGAACATCTGCAAGTCTTTTGCATTCATTTTATAAAGTGATAATTGGCATGTATCTTAACCGACATGAGTCACAAGCTCTTCACAAAAGATAACGCACTTCACATCATCATGCGTTATTATCTAACAAAGCAATCGGACTAATAATTCTTTGCGATTGGTATTCACCATCATTTTATTCAAGCGGAAGGATAAATGAACTACCGGTACATGAAAATAACTGATGACATAAAGTGTCACAACTGTTGTTACTCGTAATAGTGATAGTAACAGAACCATATGTAACTTCCCTCTACTCACATGGTTAAACGTTAGACATGTATTTAATGAAAACTTTCTCTGAGATTGTTTCAAACATCTTTTCATTTATGTAAATTTAAGTGTAAACTTGATCCTGATTGTCAGAAGGTTTATATAAATTCTGTCTTGTACGTCACAAACTTTAGCAAAGAATGTTTTTATTACGCTTAAGCGCTTCTGGCGCTTTTTAAGTTAATCGAAATAACATTA